TTTTTTGTCTTTTTGAGACAGGGTCTCCTTGTAGCCCTAGCTGTCCTAGAACTCGCTATGTAGACCAGGCTGGCCTCGAACTCACAAAGATCCGCCTGCCTCTGCCTCCCAAGTGCTGGGATTAAAGGCGTGCACCACCACGCCCGGTTTGTTTATTTATTTTTTTTTAAGTTTTTATGTACATAAGTGTATTGCTTGCATGTAGGTAGGTGCACCTATGTCATGGAGATCAGAAGAGGCCATTGGATCCCCTGGAACTGGACTTATAGACAACTGTTAGCTGCCATGTGGGTGCTGGAAATGGAACCCAGGTTCTTTGCGAGAGCAGCCAGGGTTCTTAACCGCTGAGTCATTTCTCCAGCCCCCTCAACCCCTGCATTTATGTGCACGACTTGTCAGTAACTCACTTTTCTGCCACACAGCTCTGGGTCAAGAGCTATCAACCGGCACTCTTTATGGAGAACCCCTCCCCTGACCCCTGGTACTTCCTTCTTGGGAGGGGAAGCCAGCTGGTATCACCCTGAGTCTGCCTCTGCCCTTGCTGATTACTAAATTGAGGGAAAGGTCTGGGTGCATCCTTCTGCATGCAGCACAGCTGGCCGCTGGGTGTGTGCTGGCCGCTGGGTGTGTGCTGGCCGCTGGGTGTGTGCTGGCTGTCTTCGCTGCCTGTGAGGGCAGCGGTGTCTGCAGCTGGGCCTTAAACCCTCGCGGTTGGCAGTTCACTGAGCCAGTGCATTTGATCAGTAGGAAGTACTCATTTGACCCCGTGTTAACTCTTTCTCTCCATCTATTCAGAAGTCAGTGCTGTGTAATGAAATATGTGCTTCAGGTGGGCCAGGGGGCCAGGATGGGCCAGGATCATCCCACGACCTCCCACCAGGGGAGACAGAACTAGTCCAGCCTTATGGATGGCCTTGGGTGAACCAGCAGCCCTTCCCTTTCCTCTCTAAGCAGACACTAAGCCTACCTGGGTTCTCTGGAAAAAAAAGGTGGGAATTATGTGTGCATGCCCAGTGCAGTGGGTAGACAGGACATTGATGTGGGTACAGCAGCCAAGGCCTGATTCCTTTGTTCCCCTTCTCTGGCCCTTGACTTTGTGAGCTGACTGATATGGTGCCAAGAACCAAACGTGGGTCCCATGGAAGAGCAGCAAATGCTCCTAACTGCCGAGCCATCTCTTCAGCCCCTGGTCACTAGATCCTCACACAGAAATCACTGAACATCTCCGCAGATGAAATCTCACATTTAATTCAGATAAAATTTAAAGTGGCATGTACATAAAGGAATATGCTTCTGAGTGAAACTATGACAGCTGTTAGCCTTTGTTTCTCTTGAACAGTAAACCACACTTTCTTACTCCTAAATAATCCACCGAGCCATAAATATAATAAGCAAACACCCAAGTCCTTGTGCACACATTGCTGTGTTTGGTATATAGAACGTGCGCCATATTTCAGGGTGAGCCCATGTGCACCGCTGTTGACAAGAGTCATGTCTCTTGGCCAGATAATGTTACAGGATGTACTTGAGATGTGCAGCTGAAGGAACTAAGTGGGAAGCCTCAGATTTCTGGCCCCTGCTTCTATCACTACATTCTCAAGCTCTGAAACCAGTTTTGGAGCTCCCCACGGGATCCCCACCAGCCCTGGCCCACAGGAATGTAGGAGGAGAGGCTTCCCAGCCCTAGTCTGCAAAGGGGACTCCCGAAGAGGCCGGCCAGTCTGCAGCTCAGATACCGCTGCTTGGAGACTGTTGAGCTAGGGCCACAACCACCATGGGGCCTGACCAGCTCCTTCCCTTGAAGCCGGGTCTCAAAATCAGTGGCTGTCACTCCTCTACACTGTGGCAAGCTCCCGAGAGAGGAGGGCTACCTCTGAATCAGGAGAGACAGAATTCCCATCTGGAGGGATTCCACCTGGACAGTCTCTCTTCATACCCTACTCTGTTCTTATGTTCTTGTTCCTTCAAACAGAGGCCAGAGTGGGGAGAGTTCCAGACATGGGGACGCCCGTGACTGAGCCACTAGACATTCCTTAGTTCCTTAACCCCTATGCTCCACATCTGGGGACACTCTTGCAGGCCTCACCGGTTAGACAACAAGGTAAACCATTTTCTTCCCGTTGATGTTTCTGGTCTTCAGCCCCAAGTACCGGCGGGTGTTCTTCTCCGGCTGCCCATATAGCATGTCGACAAAGAAGTTGGACTGGTCTTTGTTCCTCGATCGGGAGGTCAGAAAGTCAAACCCAGCTCTGAGCTTGCCACACAGGTAGGTCACTGCCTCCACCTCATCGGAAGGCTCCTCGTACACAGGCTGCTTCATCTCGTCGTAGGCAGCCAGGATCACAACCTGAAATAAGTTGATCAAGATACAGATCATCACCAGCAGGAAAGATGACAGGAATAAGACGCCAAGGACTCTGTTGCTAGAAAACTCCGTATTCTGAAAGGCAGACACGCAGTAGGAGAAGATGGTCTGGGTGGCGTGAATCATGTTGCTGTAGTGCCATTCATGCTGGCCAAACACCAGGTACCCAAAAGCCATGTACACAAAGGAGCACACGGACACCACCAAGGCTATGTGGCAGATGCCAGGAAGGGCAGCCTGGATGGCCCTCTGAGCCAGACGCACGTTGTAAAAGAATCTGGCATACCTCAGTGTCTTCAGAATGGTCAGAAATAACAGGAAAGCCAAGACGGTCCTCATGATGTGATCTATCCGGGAAATGGCATGGAAGGGGATGAAGGCTTGAGGGTCTGTCAGATAGAGGTGAATCATGCCGATGGCCAGGAGATGCTTCTTGAAGAACAGCACTATCAGCAGAGTAAACATGCACTTCAGAGTGAAGTTGAACAGGCTGTACCCACTGCTCAGGTAGGAGGCTCTCTCCTGTAGGATGACGTAGCCCTCGTCGACGATGTAGGCCAGATAGAATATGAGGATGGCCACATACAGGTAGATTTCTGCTGACGTTTCTCTATTGAAATCAGCAAGTGAGAAGGAGCACACCGAGAGGCTGGAGTTGACAGTCCCCAGGGGAGAGAGTTCAAATACAATGGAAATGCTACATATCAGACTGGCATCTGGATTCAGAGTGGTTAACTCCACAATCACAGCCCACGTCATCTCATCAAGCCAATTCTGTCCCTCGAGTTCCTTGAGCCTCAGAGAGGAATTAAACGCCTGCTGTTCAGGAAAGAAGTGGAACACATAGCCTCCAGATCCATAGGTTTTTAACACTCCATGTGAATAGTACGGCCATTTCTTCTCTGGAGGCTTGTAAGTAAACCCGCTGACATTCTTATCTGTATGCCGCTTGCTGACTTTATTCCAAAAGCTGGAATAATGTTCTGTGTCTTCTGGGTCAATGCCGTACTCTGGATAACAGTGGACTTCTCCCGCCACTCTGTTCTGCACAAACTTCTGGGCAGGCAGACACCGTTTTTCACTGGGTTTGGCTCTCACTTGCCTCATGAGTGGCAGGCCGAGGATCTTCGAGGAGCTGTCGGGAAGGAATGTCGGGTTGAGGTTGTTGTGTACCAGAGGCAGGAGCACGCTGTTGAGCCACGTGTAGATGTCGCCCAGCTTCATCACGGTGGTGAGGTCCACCGAGAATCGATGGCGGATGAACTGGTTGTAGTAGAAACTGTCGTTGTGATGCAGCAGGGCGATGAGGAGCAGGAGGAGGGCCAAGAAGGTGAAGTGCGTCAGAAGGTAGCTGAGGAACAGCAGGGCCCTCCTCTTGATCCTCCCCTTCCGTTTATGTATTTGGATCTCGTCTTCAGTGAGGGGCTGGTACATGCGTGAGGCTTGGAGGGAAGCAATGTGCTGATGGAGCTCCTGGACCTTGTCTGCTGACATCTTTGCCCGGTACAGCTTGATCTCCGTGTACTGGTACTTGCCTGACCACGAGAGGTTTTTACAGTACTTGAGCTTGTTTGTCCTGGCACCTGACAGCAATACAATCTTGCACGGCTGCACAAGGAACACAGACTGACAGAAGGAACAGAACGATGCTAAGAGCCACTCTACTGACTTGTCGTAACCGTAAGTCAGGCCGTAAAATACAATAAAGAATGACGAGATGCCGGAAGTGATGAACACCAAAGTCCAGGCTATGTAGACACACCACCACGGCAGGACCAACCGGGGCTTTTTTTTAATGGACTCAGAGTCCAGCTGGGTAGAGGAGGCTTTTGAAGAAATATCTTCATCGTCTTCACTGTCTTCTACATTATTGTTACTGGAGCTCCTAGTGGACTTCTGGGTCTTCAGGTCCTCACCCTGTGTTTTCTTACTCTGATGTGTTCTTTTAAGGCTCCTCTTAAGGGAAGCCTTAGGTACTTTCTGCCTTTCCCTGGACTTTGCAGCTTCCTGGATGTGAACCCTTTCCATTTCGTATTCATGCCACTTGTCCAAACACTCTCTCCAGTATCCTCCTTCCTCTGACATCAGGGGGTGCATTTGAGGTCTCACCTCCTCTAGGTTTGCTTGAGGCTTCTTTTGGGAGTAGATGAAGAAAAAGGTTATCAATAATTGCACAGGGATTGTAACTAAGACACTTTCAATTCCTGTCATCATCGATCTGATGATACGTCCCTCTTTTGACTCAATTCGCTCTTTTCTGTTCAGATTGAAGAACATGATATTACAAAGAAGAGAGCTCAGCAGTGTGGCCAAGCAGCAGGACAGTCTTTGGAGCCTGTTGAACGATTTGACAACAACATCAGTGAAGATGGAGAACCACATGTGGTTTTTCCCAAGCTTGTGGCTCAGGTCTATCAGGAAGAAGTCCCTTCTATTCAGAGGCTCATCGGGGTCGATGACGAAAAACGTTGCTTCCAAAGTGGTGTCAACAGAGAACCACTTCCGGCACATGAACAGCCAGATGTGTCTGCTGAAGAGATTTTCGACTTTGATCCGACTTAGGTACCAGTCAGGTGCTTCCCCCTCATTGTCGTGCCACATGCGGATGGACTGGATATTCCCCAAGTCCTGCTGTGTTGTCAGGAGGAACGTGTTGATACTTCCTCGGTAGAGACTTTTAAAATATGGATGGCTTAAACAATGCACATCGCTGGTACCCTTTGTTCCACTAAGCTGGACAAAGACATTGGCCCTGGTCCCAGACCCCAAACGACTCCCAGTGAAGATGGTAACCAGGTAGCATATGTTATCATAAGGATCATTATCAGGCAGAATTACCACATGATCCCGAAGATACAAGTCTATCTCATCCCTTTGCAAGGCCCAGAAGGCCAGAACCACATACAAGAGCATGATGAACAACACAGCCAAGAGGGTCACAGGGTTTTGGTTAATGTTCTTGATGACCGTTAGGTGCAGATCCACAGCGTTAGGAATCACGATCACTCTGGCGGTCACGAAGTGGCTATGCAGTTGAAGACGTGCCAGCTCCATCGAGCCCAGCTGCCTCCGGCTCCTCCTCATGTTCCTGCAGACACAGTGGACTTTGTACCATGTGGTCTTCTCACCCAGCACGCAGGTTCCTGCTCGCCACTCACTCTGGATCCCGTCCATGTCCAAACAGTGAGCCGTGAAGAGAGCAATTCTTACTAGTTTGTTAGTGGGCTGGAAGACAAATCGAGGTGCCTGCAGGACCATGGTTATGTTGTACTTGGATGAGTTGCTGTGCTGAGCCATGACTTGAAGCAGGGACTGTGATAGGCAAACTACACGGGCCTCCTTGACTGTACAGGTTGGGTCAAACTGTCTGTCCTGGTTGGCACTGGGAGGGGTGTCATGAGGCACTAGGAAAGTGGCCACCAGATTGGTGGGGGTAATCAGATTGCCTGCATATATCAGTACCTTGAACAACAACGTCACATCTGTGACTATGTGGACCAGTAGCTCCCCAGTTCCTCTGCTGTCCACCTCAAAGCTAACCCCACCTGTAGTCATCTTTGAAAAGCCAGCGCCATCAATGCCCGGTCCCACTGTGAGCTTAAAACTCTCAAAGGTCAAGTCTTTTCTGACCAGGTGCACTTCCACATCAGGCACGATCTCAATGGCACTAGTGTTGTCGGTGGCTCCTGTCATTCTGAAACCAACCACCTCTGCAGAGCTGTCTTCCGGATAACTTAACCAGGGAAAGGGGTCAACTGTGAACTCACAGAACATCATAGAAACCAGAGCCTTTACAGGTAGACTGGAAACCCTGCTTGCGTTCAGGGTCCCATGGAAGCAATTTTGGCAGTGTGTCTCGTTCCTGAAGGCCTGAGCAACATCCCACTTCTCAACTTTCTCCACATACATCTTAAAGTTGCTAGTGCTCAGATCCGTGGTTTTGCCCCCTGGCACCTTACTGGCCAATATTGTGTCTGATAGAGATTCCACTATAAAGAAAGGGTCTTCAAACACATTGTAGGGATTAATCAGTTTGAGGATGTTAGACAGACTCGTCAGGATGCCCGTGCTTACTATCTCTATCTGCCGAGAGCTAAAGTGTTTATATTTACGACGGTTTGCTTGAAGGGCTTGGTTTGTTTGCCAGAGCCTCAACGTAGCTTGTTTCCCGGCAACTCCGGTGAAGTCGGAGATTTGCTGAGTTAATTTAGTAATCACTATCACTATCTGGCAAATTTCATCCACGGTCCTCACAGAAGGCACAAAAGATTGATTGACAAGGTGCTCCAGGAGACTGGCTTTGTCGTCTCGGAGCTCTGTTTTCATGTTGCTCAGAACAGAAGCCACTACGTATATTAAGTAACCTGCAGGTAACCAGTCCTGCTTCTGAAGCAAAGTAGACAGCAGTGACGTCGGTCCCATGGAGAGACTGAGTAACTGACGGAGCACATTCTCTGACGAGTTTCTTTGAGTAGGCGCCTGTACCATGGCGTGCAAAGTCACCTGGGAAAAGGTCCCTCGGGAGTCATAGACCTGAGCATATATCTTCAGACTGTAGTTATCTGCTGCCACACCAACAGGGAGAAAAGACGGTGGTGTTGTGGCCCTTGTCCCCAAATACAGGATGCTCCCCAGGGTGTTCTCCTCCACTGAGCTGATTTCACCAACACTCTCCAACTCAGCTACGATTATTTTATATTGAAGAGGAGTGTGCTTATCCTGAAAATTACTACACTCAACAACAAATTTAGTAATCATAGAAATCCCTCTTTCTGGATTGACTTTGCATTTACCGATTTGAGGGCCATGGTTAATGATGAAGGGATATCGCAAATCCAAGGTCACACCACCCCAAGTTATTAGATGTAGAGAAACCCAAAACCTAGCTTCCAAAAAGTTCCTGAAGGCAAAGGCTTTTATAGACAAATATGCCCTGTTCCTCCTGGTGACACTCTGCCCTGCCCAGTCAAACATCACCTCATGACCCGAGGGAGACAAAATGGACCAGTTATAGAAATCTCGTCTGGTACAGGCAGTGCAATTCAGAAACAGTGAGAATCTATCTGACATGACTAACAGGGGGTCACAGTTTTCGATACATGCAATGTGTGCCCTGGGGGTTGGTTCTCTGAGCACATGTATGGTTTTATCGGAAAATGCGGTTCTGTTCCACTTTTGCACCACCAATCTGAAATAATACACACCATCCCCTTTAAGTGTTTCTGGGGGCAGCGTTAACACGGGGCCCACAGCCCATGGCCAGTCCAGTGTAACCTGTTCTGGGTGGCAGACTTCCTGGTTGGTCACTGCTACATGCTCTCCACGGTAGTTTCCGGGATTCGTGGTACAGTGCCAAGAGAAATGGAGTCCTTCGGTGGGGTCGTCTGCCTCAGGGTCAGAGGACATACTTCCGTTCAAAATCAACTCGTCGGAGAAATTCACTGTCACGTTGGCAGCTCCAGGAAGGACGGCCTGCAGAGGACGTTTGGTGACCCAGATGTAGATGATGTCTGAATCTATTAGCCGGGGCAGAATGGGGTTCCATCTGGTGATGACCAGAGAGAAATTAAACACGTACACCCCGTAAGGCAGGGCGAATCTGGGGATGTGGAGGACGGTGGAAATATCGCCTCGCCGCACATTCGGCAGGCTCACAGGCCGGGCCCAGTCGGGGGTATCGTTCACAGAGGGCACGGTGTAGAACTGCCAGAGCCAGTGGATGTGCTTGGCCAGGGGGCAGTTCCAGTTCGCGGTGGCGTTGAGGGTGACCTCCTCCTTCCTGCTCAGGACCACCGGAGCGTGCTGGTCGTTCCTGTGGATCCTCACGGGCTCCATGGTGCAGCTGAACTGGTAGGCCTCGGGAGCGGCGGCTCCGCGCTCTGAGGAGTCGCTGGCTTTCGGGAGGATGCCCGCGTCTGCGCTCGGGGGAGACCTGCTGGGCGGCGCGGGCCGGGCGCGGCGTGGGGACCCGACCCAGTCGCTGCTGTCCTGGATGCCCGGCGACCGCGGGGGGCGACCCAGGCCCAGGCCCAGGCCCAGGAGCATCAGCGCGGGCCCCGGCCACATGGCGC